TAAGACATCTACGACGAGATAGAGAATGAGAGAGAGAGGAGGGGGGGGAGGGCAGAGCGAGAGAGAGAGAGAGTGAGGGTGTGTGTGTATGTGGTAATGTGCGTAATATGCGTGCGTTCGTGCGTGCGTGCGCGTGCGTGCGGTGGTGTGTGTGTGTGTGTGTGTGTGTGTGTGTGGTGTGGTGTGTGTGTGTGTGTGTTCTGTGTTGTGTGTATGTGGTGCGTGCGTGCGTGCGGTGCGTGTGACTGCGGCGACATGTAATGCACAAGGTTGTTGATTGACTCTGCTAACGGTTGACTGAATTAATATTTAGGCACGCTATATAAACGTAAGGTGCGTCTATATCAATTCTGCTACTGTACTGCTACTACTGCTGCTACTCCGCACTGTTACTCCGCTATGCTGCTGCTGCTACTGCTACTGCATGCTACTACTACTGCTACGCTACTGCTGCTGCTACTGCTGCTGCTACTCGCTGCTACTGGCTGCTGCCTGCTACTGCTATCGCTGGCCCTGACTACTGCTAACTACTGCTCGCTGCTGATGATGTTGGCTGTTGCTGTTGCTGGCAGTTTACTGCATAATTCCTCAATTGAATAGTAAGTCCCATAGATATGCTATACGTTACCTGTTTATGTAATAGGCCAATAGCAATTGACATGTGAAGTGATTTATTCTTGGCTATTGGCCTACTTACATGTACAGGTAAGCTATAGCATATCCTTGGTACTACTATTCAATTGAGAATTTGGTAAACAAGAATAAGCACGACACTTTGTAAAGAAGCAAGCCGTTTGCCAGAGCCTTGCAGGTGTCATGGAATGATCTTTTATGGTGATTTGCGTTTCGTGGGCGGCAAACTAAATATGTACATGCTCTGAAGCCATCATTTTCTTATGGTGATTGCGTTCGTGGCCGCAAACTAATATGTGCGTATGCTGTGAAGCCGCGCTTCGGCTACATCTCTCCTCTCTCTCTCTCTCTCTCTCTCTCTCTCTCTCTCATCCTCTCTCTCTCTCTCTGGCTCCCTCTCTCTCTTCTCTCTCTCTCTCTCTCTCTCTGCTCTTTCTCTCCGTCTCTCTCTCTCTCTCTCTCTGCTCGCTGCCCCTCTCTCTCCTCTCCCCCTCTCTCTCTCTCTCTCTCTCTCTCTCCCCTCCTCTCCTCTGCTCTCGATCCCCCCTCTCTCTCCTCTGCCTCTCCCTCTCTCCTCTCTGCCTCTCCTCTACCCTCGTCACGCCACACAGTACTGTCACGTCTGCAGGTTGATGCTGGGAATCATGGGTACCCGTCGTTCAATGCTGTCCGATGTGGAGCAGCAAGCTGACGGCGGCGACGGCGATGATGGTGCTGATAGTGCAGGGCCGTGCCGTCGCCAGCCTCACTCTGCTTGCGACACAAGCCGGCGCGACGTGGAGGATCACATCACGTCGATAACGTTACGTCACCGCAACGTCCTCCGCGCGCGCGCCGCGGGGAGTGGGCCGCGGAGGGAAGGGGGGCGAGGGAGGGGGTAGCGGGAGGTCCGTGGGGAGGCAGATGCGGGTAGGTGTTCCACGCCAACTGGTCCTCCCGCGCGGCCGCAGGGGAAGCGGCGCCGCGGGGGATGGGAAGGCGGGGCAGGGGGCTGGCGGGGAGGGGGTAGTGGGGAGGTTCAAAGTAGCAGCAGCAGCAGGCAGTATCAACAGTAGTCACAGCAGCAGTAGCAACAGTCAGTAGCAGGCAGCAGTAACAGGGAAACAATTTCAGCCAAAAATTTGCAGTAGCAAATGTGCGGATAGCAACAATACATTTTGCATAGCAAGTTGATAAATTTTGTCATTAGCGTTTTCATAGTGACCAAATCACAGTGCCAACATTTACACGCAGTGTGCATATGCTTTGCGTGTTAACGTTATCGGCCTTGACCAGGCAGCAGCTTAGTTAAGCCTCAGGACACACTAGGCTCGATGATCTGTACGCTGCATCCAGGCAGCTGTATTACAACAGGTCGAGTTGGCAGGCTATTGACACGCACACACACACACAGCTCGCAATGGTCGAGTGAAATACAATAATAATATCGGGGTCGGAGCGGTGAATAGCTAAAGTCCCTGAGACTACGCCCATGTTGCAAGTAAATCAATCATTGTCTAAGAGCTATGTAAAGTCCAAAATTTGGTATCCTTACGTTATAATAATCCAAAGACGCACTTGATATGAATATAACAGTTCAGCGATTTGTGTGAATATCGATGAAACGGGTCAGCTATCCGACTCCTCGGACACGACAATACATCCCTCGCACCTTTATATTAATCAAAAGTCGCGAAGATATAGCCACGCCCGCGAGCGGTGCAGGGCGCCAGCACAGGCGTGGCTGTGTATACGTGGCCTGGGCGCTCGGCCTATTTGTATTAGATGTATCGGGTGAGAGGCGGGGAGTGCAGTGATTCGTGTAACGTCCGTCCTTGCGCCTTGGTGCTTTAACAAGTCAATAAAATGCGCGTGTTAACGGTGCATCTCATTGCACGGCGTCGAAAGCAGCGCCGAGAATAAAAGTAAATTCGCACACACATGTATGTTTCCGTTTTACATCGCAGGGCTGCTATCGCACCACACTGGATTCATAAAAAAAATATGCGTAGCAAATGGCTGAAAATACATGCGCGCAAGTGTCGATGCGATACCGGGGAAAATTATTCCCTGCAGTAGCAACAGTAGGTAGCAGCAGCAGTCAGCAACAGTTAGCTAGTAGTAGCCAGCAGCTGCTGCATCGTGGAAGGAATACAGCAGCAGTAGTGTAGTACGGCGTTTAGGACAGTTTTATTACAAATACGGATAAATAGCAGTCAAAAC